ACTAATGATAATAAAAATTACAATAATTATTATAATAAAAAATAATAATCATAATAATAAAAATAGTAATAAAAATTATAATAAGAACGATAATTGTACTAATAATTATATTACTTATAATTATAATAATCATAATAATCATAATAAAGATCATAATCTTAACAATAATCATAATCATAATAATAACAATAATTATAATTATAATTTTAATTATGATTACAATTATATTTAAATTAATGATAATAATTATAATTTTTGCAAGATAACCCCTTCTTGATCGACCTCTTGATTTTCGAAAATTTTGACGACTTTTTTTTGTAGGTTGACCAAATAGATTTTCCGAGCTCTCGTAAAGCAGTAAGAAGACGCTGTTTTGGCCAAACTTTCTGGGCCGCAGGCAAATTTTTGAAAAAACTGGTCCAAAAAGCCGTTTTTGGGAAAATGTTGTCACAAAAACTGCGTTTTTTTTGACAAGCGCTCCCCGTCAAAGTTAGTATATATTGGGCGCCAAAGGCTCCTTTAGAAATTTTTTAAGGGCGGTCGACCAAAAATGGATTTCCTAAAAAGTACCAAAGAGTAAAGGGTAAGAAGTACCAGTGGGGTAATGTACGGTCGATCTTTGAAGTCCCTTAGTTGTTCCAATTATCGAAGAGAGTATTTCAGACTTTGTTTTTTTTCTAACTATTAAATCTGTAATAGAATGTTCTTAAACAGTCTGAAGTTTATTAGAAATTTGAGCTCAAAATTAAAAATTATTTTCAATTGAAGCAATTTTTTTAAGCTTCTGAAAATTTTGAATTAGGGCAATCTTGATATAAATCATAAGACACTAGATGCAAAAATTATCCCTTCTGATTTGATGCAGTGGGTGGGGAGGGGGGGACTTTATCATATTTTGATTATTTTTCTAGCCAAAAACGATATCAGATAAGTTGAAAGAAACGTAACAGTCAAAAATCACAGCTTTTTGATTATAACTGTGCTGGTTTTAACATAACAAGTACTTAGGTTCTGAGAATTTTTTGGGAAGCACGGTTGAAAACTCCTTTTAATTCGTTTATGTTTTTTTTTGTCTTTTTCTTCAACAAAGCACTTTTTTGTAAATTTAACATATGGACTATATTTCAGTTATGAAAAACTATCTAAACGTTGTCATACTGCAAAACTTTATCATAAACATGGATTGGCGAACAAACAAACAAGTGTTATCAGATTTGTCAGAAATTTTTACCATTCATAGTAACATTGCGCATATAACCCTAAAAACACGTACAACAATCAAGAAATCTTGAAATTTTTAAATCAGCCGAATGCTCATACTTTGTAAGCCACTCGTTGCATGAAAAAATGATTCGTTGCGTGACTCAATTGTTTGTGTTAGGGGCAGAAGATCTAAGTTTCAACCAACTCAGATGACTCGAAAAAAACAGCCGTGTTTGTTTGACAGATATCAAATCAGGAACAAAAGGATTTCTCTTCGCTTGTCAAAAACATGCGGAATTGAAAAACCTTTAGCACAAGAGTTTTTGGTTTGAATTTTGGTTCAAATTTTCAATCAAAACATTTGTACTGGTTGTTTCACATTAGAAAAAAATATGTTATAATCGTTTGAAAGTTTTTTCTTTGCACCTAATTGAGTTATAATATGAGTGTTTTGATCAATTTTAGTGATTTGCAAGCTTGGTGGTATACATAGATAGACAAGACTAGGACAAAGATGTTTTGACTGTTATCTCAGGCTGAGAGGACGCGCGATACTCTTGAGCTCTCGGCAGAAGAAAAGCCAGAAGAAAGGCCAAGGACGATTTGATGCTCCTTCGAAATTTTTCTGGTGCTCCTCCGGCAGTTCTAAAATTTGGTTCAAAAATATCGGGTCTTAAGAAATTTTTTCTCGGATTGGTGCATTTGGTTTTTCCTACTGTTAATTTCATCTTTGTAGGAGTCCTACCATTATGCTTAGAGGCACTTATCATAGTGATAAGGCGTTCACTTTGAAATCGACAGATCGTGTGTTCGATCCCATGCCATGGCAATGATAGTATGTGAGGACGAGCTCTCACTTGACCTCTAGCTTTAGGTCTACCATATCTTGATCAATTGTGGCTTTAATAGTGGTACCACGTGAAAGTTCTAGACGCAAAAAAATGGCCTTGAGTCACAAAAAAGCTCCGCTCAACAAAATAACTCAAACAGACTATCCTCGACAGGACTTTTAAGGCCTACTGATAGATCCTCTGCGATTTCCAGGAACTACCCTATTGTTCTTTTTATAATTGTAATTATAATTATAATTATAATTTTAATGATAAATATATTAATCATAATAATAATCATAAAAATAATCATAACAAAATCATAATCATAATAATCATAAAAATTTTCCTACTAATGATAATAAAAATTACAATAATTATTATAATAAAAAATAATAATCATAATAATAAAAATAGTAATAAAAATTATAATAAGAACGATAATTGTACTAATAATTATATTACTTATAATTATAATAATCATAATAATCATAATAAAGATCATAATCTTAACAATAATCATAATCATAATAATAACAATAATTATAATTATAATTTTAATTATGATTACAATTATATTTATATTAATGATAATAATTATAATTTTTGCAAGATAACCCCTCTTGATCGACCTCTTGATTTTCGAAAATTTTGACGACTTTTTTTGTAGGTTGACCAAATAGATTTTCCGAGCTCTCGTAAAGCAGTAAGAAGACGCTGTTTTGGCCAAACTTTCTGGGCCGCAGGCAAATTTTTGAAAAAACTGGTCCAAAAAGCCGTTTTTGGGAAAATGTTGTCACAAAAATTGCGTTTTTTTTGACAAGCGCTCCCCGTCAAAGTTAGTATATATTGGCGCCAAAGGCGCCTTTAGAAATTTTTTAAGGGCGGTCGAACAAAAATGGATTTCCTAAAAAGTACCAAAGAGTAAAGGGTAAGAAGTACCAGTGGGGTAATGTACGGTCGATCTTTTGAAGTCCCTTAGTTGTTCCAATTATCGAAGAGAGTATTTCAGACTTTGTTTTTTTTCTAACTATTAAATCTGTAATAGAATGTTCTTAAACAGTCTGAAGTTTATTAGAAATTTGAGCTCAAAATTAAAAATAATTTTCAATTGAAGCAATTTTTTTAAGCTTCTGAAAGTTTTGAATTAGGGCAATCTTGATATAAATCATAAGACACTAGATGCAAAAATTATCCCTTCTGATTATGAATAATCATGAATACTATTTTTACTATTATAACTATTAATACTATTATTACTATTATGATTAATATTTTCGTTATGATTATAACTATCATTAGTATACTGGTTAATATTGTTATCATTATGATCTAATTTTTTTATATTTAAGCGCTGTGTTCAACTTATGAAGTAATTTTGAGACACATTCTGTCTCATTTTTCAAATATTTTGTTAAACTAAAAAATGTCACTAAAAGTTTATCTTCAAATAACCTTCGTGTTATGTTTGGTTCATAATATTTTAGTTTGTAAACTAGTCCATATTGGCTTCTATCCAATCTATGTATGCAGATACTCGGGTATATACACTGTCATCAGAGCAAGTTTTTGTTCCAAAACTGACTATTCCATAGAGGCATTTGGCTCTTCCGCTACTGCTCAGTGGAAAAAGAGGACCACCCGAATCACCCATACAACTTCCACTGTAGGACCCTGTTGACTCCATGCACACTTGATATTGCTTGTGGAAACTGCTCCAAAAACAATTGCTGTAAGTTTCCCTAAGCATCGTTTCTTGGAGTTTCTCAGGGGAAGTTTCAGGGTTAACACTAGATGATCCAAGACCACAAACTGCAATATCATAACCTGAGTTTTTGTATGTTGTTCTGCACAGTGATATTGAGCGACCTTGCACGGATCTGCTCAACTTGATGAGACCAATGTCGTTAACAGCAAGCTCGTTATTATACCTAAAAACAAAGTTTATGAAATCCAGCTATTCAGCTTAGTTAAAACGAATAACTTCGCATGTTCCATAAATTACACATTGTTAAAATAGATATCAATAATTGATCAAATCTAAGGTCGACCAAAAAATTGGACTCAAATGACTGAAAAGAGATTATAAAAACATTACTCTGCTTACCTTGGATGTATGAACCAATCAGCGGCTCCAATTTCAGTTTTTTGTGAATAACTACTAGTGAAATCGCCAACAAGTACTGTAACGTAACCTGAAACAAAAAAATATTCATTAAAATTATCAAAATGAGACCAAATTCTCCACAGGGTTTCCCTTAAGTAACAACAGTCTGCGGTTCTTTTTCCTTCCCCCCACCCCACACGAGCATCAATTTTATAGTGTAACGAGTGATTTTACCATGTTTAAGATGAAGACCAAATACCTTTGTCATAGCCTAATTAGTCCGCATGTCAATTTTCACGACAATCGGACTATGTGAACAAAAGTTTCACTTGTAAAATTTGCAGGTGGGGGGAAAAAGAAAAAGAGCCCGTGTGCTTTTCAGTTGTATTCAAAATAGTACCTGTTTTGAAAATGGCTAAATTTTTCTAATTTAAATTCAATACTGATTTACAATAAGTAAAACGATTCCTTCTCTTTTTTTGAACATCAGAACAGGCTTACGAGCTCCGGCAAGACAATGTGCCGCTGTTAGTACATATCGTGAATTAATGATGGATCCCCCACAAGATGAGAACCTGCCGCTGTTCCAGGATTCCTTCATTTTCAATGATACGTAGAATGATCGGTCAGGAGCATCGTACCCATTTATGATGCTTCTTTTCATCGTCGAACTCAAAACATGACCGCAGAAAGCTGTCAAGGTCAAAACAATTAGCAGAAGCATCGTTTTTCCCAATGAAAAAGTATAAGAATTTAAACTAAAAAAATGATTGAATTTGAACTATGACTATCAGCAAATGATTATTTCAGGTCTCGAATGTTGACTTGAAACAGAGCGCAAAAAATTTCCCGCGTTTTTATGGAGCAACTGGTCAATACTAAGAGTCAAACTGAGCTCATCTTTGTCTTGAAGCTTAAGAGTTTTTTGCTCAATTTTGTTTTCTCATGTTTGAAATTTAGCTTATTAGCTTATAAAACTAAATTAATGTGGCAATACATAAACGCCTTCATACATAGAGTTCAATTCAAACATAAAATTTTTCTTCAACCATAAACTACGCATTGAGCCAAAACTAAAACTCAAATGTGGAGTCTGTAAACCAGTCATGAAAATGGTTGTTCAAAACAGTCAATCCACAGGGGGCTGTCATTTTAATCCGTAGGGGTTATTTTTCTTTTTCGGTCTTCTGAGCGGAGAGACCCTTTGAGTGAAAAGGGTAGGACGGTCGGAAATCATCTAATTGCACTCCCGTCTCTTTTTCTTTCACCCCTCCCCCCACCTGCCACGACCGTCAATTTTATGGTGTAACGAGTGGTTTTACAAGTTTAAATATGAAGACCAAATCTGTTTGGCACATCCTAATTAGTCAGCAGGTCAATTTTCATACTGATCGGATAATGTGAACAGTAACTTAACTAGTAAAAAAATTGCGGGGGGGGTTGAGGAAAAAGAGCCTCACTCCCACTTGTCATAAAATAAGCTGGCGAACAATTTTTTTTTGAACAAATTTTTTCATGGAAAGGAACCCTGTGCTCTTTTTCGTTCCCCCCACCTCGCTTGAGCATCAAGTTTCTGACGCAGCGAGTGCTTTTAAAAGGTTAAATATGAAGGCCAATTATGTCTTTAATGGCCTAATTAGACCGAATTCCAATTTTCATAGCAATCGATTTAAAAGAAAACATAATTTAGAAAAGAAAATATTGCAGGTGGGGGATATAAATAGTCGAGCCTTGATCTCGCATGGAGCTATCAATTCAATTGTTGTCTAGAATTCTGTGTGAATCGAACAGGTGGGGTTCATGCTCGGAAATTTTCTTGAGGGGGGGGGGGCAGATTTTTAAAATCTCACAAATCACTATAAAGACCCTATTTTAACCAATTTTTTTGCGCCGCCAGCAAAACTTCGAAAAATAGCAGACCAAAAAATGGCGTTCTGGGCACTTTACGGAAAATTTTGACCAAAAAAAAGTTGCGTTTTTTTGGCGCACCATTACGAGACCAAACTGTTTATTTTGTGGGTTCTAAGCGGATTCTGCAACAATAACGCTCCATTTATTCTTCTTTTGTTCTTTCATTTTCTTCAATTGCTCTTACAAAATTTTAACAGGTTTAACGACTTGTCTCTGGAATTTAAAATGGTACTAAGGGGGGAACCTTTGGGTCCGCAGGTGGTCGAAACCCTGAAGGGGGTTGGCATCCGCCACCCGCCCCCTTTAAATCCGCTGGTGAGACTAGGCATGGTTACACGTGTACTTTTATTTGCATTGTAACCTCAAAAAAGACGAAATGTTCGAATAGGGAGTCATTTTTTTGTTGCGATGCTTATGATGTAATAGAATAAACCCCAGAATTGGCTTGGAATAGCCTAATAAGTCTGCATTCAATTTTTTAAATTTTCAAAAAAATTGTACAAAAAAAATTTTCCAGTAGAACTTTGCTGATGGAAAATGAAAATCGATCTTTCTTACATTATCTTCCTGTCCTCCCTACGTGTTTTGAAAATTATATAAATTTGTCTGAAATTGCACACAGCAAAAAAATTGACAAGATTTGTTATAATAACTTATATTAGCTAAATTGTATTATTTGAAATTGTATCGTCATGAGGATTGAGAAAAAAAAAATAACCAAAATGAACATTTTAGTTTAAAAAAAACCGCTGTGTTTAAGATATTGAACACAATTTTGGACTTTTATAGCGTGTCCTCCATTTGAAGCATAAAGTAAACGGATTTATTTTTAAACGTTTACCAGTTTGAATACAAAAAACCGAATTCGCTTACCACAACTTGACTACAACTTTTGAGTCTTCATTTTTTGTTCTCATTGTTCAACTCTATTGATATACTGCAATTTTATTCCTAAATTTTTGATCTCTAACCAAATATAATTAAGATCCTTGTTTATCAACATGTGAACTTGAGAAAGTCAAGCTGTTCAGAATTTAGTGAAATGTTTTTATGGTTTAGTTTCACAAACTTAAATAAGGACATTAGTTGCACGGCTACAGTTGCCCGCATAGTTACAGTTTGCCCACCTACATTGCCTCGTAATTTAAGTCACAAGATTTCACGGCTTCTTGAAAGGTATCAATGATACGGCTGCATGAAGTCGGCTGCGGTGAAGTCGGCTGCGGTATACGGCTGCATGAAGTCGGCTGCGGTATACGGCTGCATGAAGTCCTTGAGTTGCCTCCTGAGTCCTGAATGTAGAGAAGCTGTGTAGTCGGTCATTTGCTTTCACGATGTAACAGTACAAGTCTGACTTGTCGGTTGTATAGTCCTGTTCGGGTTTTGATTTGCGCTACCCGGATGATGTTGTCATTGCCATCAAAAATTTTAAGTGACGAGACTCATTGGCCACATCAAAGGCGGGATGTTGTCCTCCTTCACTACAAAATGTATCCAATGGCGAACTGTCTTGATGGTGATGTAGTGCACTTAGCCTTCTGGTGCAATGAAGTCAAGTATACGTCCTTACAGCGTATCCATAATTGTCGAACTATAGCATTGATGGCTTTGCTTTGAGTGACAATTTCTTCTTGTGTGTCGAATTTTACATTGCTGTCAAGTGTCGTACGATGAGAAAATGTCTTGGCGTCAAAATATTACTGTAAATAACCTTTGGTAATCCTCGTTGGGCGCAAAATTATTTCACGGTTTCCACGCAATCATCATTCTTAAGAGAGTTGACTGTTTCTAAAAGAATTGATTTCTTTGCAATACAATTGAAGATACCTAGGTATGCTCTAGGTAAATCTCCCATCTCTGGTTGCAGAAATCTGGCGTCCTGTCGAACGCAAGGCTTGCAATTACGAATTACTTGTTTGGCAAATGCTAGGTTTCCTGGTATCCATACAGTCTGTCGAAGAGTGTAGAGTGTCATCTGAGGACCGCTAAGAAACGATCTTTCCTTCGCATCCCTGATGAGAAAATTGTTGATTGGTGATTTCCTGGGTTAATACTTCTTGTTTTTGTCGTTGGTGAGTCTAAATGAATTGATTTGTTTGCAACACAATTGAAGATACCCAACTATGCTCTAGGTAAATCTTCCATCTCTGGTTGCAGAAATCTGGCGTCCTGTCGAACCCAAGGCTTGCAATTACGAATTACTTATTTGGCAAATGCTAGGTTTCCTGGTATCCATACAGTCTGTCGAAGAGTGTAGAGTGTCATCTGAGGACCGCTAAGAAACGATCTTTCCTTCGCATCCCTGATGAGCAAATTGTTGAAGGTGATTTCCTGGGTTAATACTTCTTGTTTTTGTCGTTGGTGAGTCTAAATGAATTGATTTGTTTGCAACACAATTGAAGATACCCAAGTATGCTCTAGGTAAATCTTCCATCTCTGGTTGCAGAAATCTGGCGTCCTGTCGAACGCAAGGCTTGCAATTACGAATTACTTGTTTGGCAAATGCTAGGTTTCCTGGTATCCATACAGTCTGTAGAAGGGTGTAGAGTGTCATCTGAGGACCGCTAGGAAACTATCTTTCCTTCGCATCCCTGATGAGCAAATTGTTGATTGGTGATTTCCTGGGTTAATACTTCTTGTTTTTGTCGTTGGTGAGTCTAAATGAATTGATTTGTTTGCAATACAATTGAAGATACCCAAACAAGCTCTAGGTAAATCTCCCATCTCTGGTTGCAGAAATCTGGCGTCCTGTCGAACGCAAGGCTTGCAATTACGAACTACTTGTTTGGCAAATGCTAGGTTTCCTGGTATCCATACAGTCTGTCGAAGGGTGTAGAGTTTTATCTGAGGACCGATAAGAAACGATCTTTCCTTCGCATCCCTGATGAGAAAATTGTTGATTGGTGATTTCCTGGGTTAATCCTTCTGGTTTTTGTCGTATGGTGAGTTGGCGAGGCGTTCTCCCCACGAAATAGGTTATATCCATTGTAGAAGAAGAGTGAAAGGCTCAGAGGGTTACTGATCTTGCAATATTTTACCCCATGCTGATGAATTGAAACTCGGCTAGATGATGCTGCTGAACCGAGCTGTACATAGCTGTGTGAGCTTCCTTAACTTCCATGGCTGAATGTTTTTCTTTTGCATGAATTTGATGAAGTTCTTCTGAAATGTTGTCGTTCTTTTGATTGAGCTTCACTATGTTGCCATTGTCGTGGGATGTCTGTTGTGGCGTCGGTTTTTTTTTTGCTTCCTGGCCTTATGCTCTTCGAATTTGTTGCTTTGGCGCAATTAGCATTTGCTGCGAAAACTGCAGCTAATTTGACTGTACTCAATCCAAAATTCCCCAAAGAATCTACTAATCTACTATCGAACCCCGTACGTTTTCCTCCATAATTGCTACCTGTACCTGTACTAGAAAAACAATCAGTGGCCCTAACAGATTTCATGCTTGGATACATATTAAAACCTAAACCTGTTTCATCGTTTACCTGTACCTATACTACCACCCTGTACTAATGCATTACTAGTATCAATACCATTACAAATACCAAGCATTCCGCAAATACCGGCTCCTGTACCAATACCTTCCAGGAGTGCGCAAATAGCTGCTCCTGTACCAATACCTTCCAGTGAATCGTTACATTTATCGTTTTCGTTCCTTCTTTTGTACACTTACCAAGCCTGGTATCAATAACGTTTTCTTCTGAGATTGTTTTGAATGTTATCAAAATCAAAACACACTTTTCCCTGTACCACCGCCAGTTTTTGTACTGTGACCTTCCTGTTGATTTTCTATTCCGCATACCCAACCTCGTCCCAATATCATCCCGTTTACTTCTGAAATTTTACGTTTCTACCATTGCCATGTCGGGTCTCGATACCGTTTACTTTTGGATTTAATGGAACATTTTCAATACTAAAACCTATCTTTGTACCACCACCTGTCTTCTCACCATAACATTCCCGGGCGTCATCGCTTTGTTCTGCCCACAAACCTAGCCTCAGGCCAATAGCAATCCGGGTAGTGATAGCCTCTGTAACAGTTGTAATTTATGCTTCTTTTTGAACTGCAACTTGATCAAAAAACGTGGATTGAGTTCTGCAGCATTTCTCAAATTTTTTGATTTATTAGATCCTGACCAATTTCGAGAGCCAGTGAAAACCTTTTTTTTGCTCATTGACTCGTTTCTCTCCACCGTCACCATTGTAACAGATCCACTGTCTTCATTTGAACTTCTTTCTTTTTTCGCCGTGTGCGCTGTTATAGTCTCAGCTCTCAGCCAGTTGTGTGTTGACGGTGAGATCCATGTTGGGCCGTTCCACCAAAGTTCATGGTTTATTCAAGCTGACGACGAAAATCCCCGAGAAGCACAATCAGCGGGAATGCTTTTCGTAGCACGAAATCCGATTTCTCGGCTGTTAGAATTTCTTGAATTTTTACCGCTCGATTAGCAAAAAATGTCTTCAACTCACGAGGAAAATCTGTTAACTTTTCAATTTTAACTCAAACGTCGGTACAAACAAAAACACTTGGCATGTCAAAGCGCTTGTTGCTGATGGCGGCTGTTAATGCTTCCACTAAATGCGCTCGCGAGAAGTGCTTCTGATCCACCAGGATTTGAAAATCATGAAATTTCCGAATTTTGAATAAATCACAGATATTAGAGCATTGCAGATGAAGCAATGAGACCAAAAACACGCTATTCACGAATATGAAACCTTCGTTCACTCAGACTTCTATCAAAAGAATACCTTGAAAACTACCCAATTGAATTAGAAAGAATCAATTCACTGTAATAAACCAGACTCCACAACCTGTTGAAAATCAAGAAAAACAAATCTTTTATATCAAAAAGCGACTGCTTAAACACCTCTACAAATAGAAAAGAATTGAACCATGACACTTCTCTTAGCAAGTGCAAGAAATTGCACAATTTATCAACCCCCAGATCTAGAAAAGATTCTTTTATCGACTCAGGTTCAGAATCAAACATCAAAAAAAGAGTTATACATGGAATGAAATTTAATCCTTACACGCGATCATGGAGCGAACAAGTAAATTAGCCACAGCACGCGGTACACATTTTCAACATTATGAAAAAGTCCAACTATATCTCCAACCAATCAAAACCATGGAACAAATTAGTTTTCTAACAAAACCATTTAAAGATACATTTCATCTTACAGATTCTAAAAAGAATGTAGCAGGAATTTCAATTATTACTAAAGCTACCAACAATTGGTTTAATAGAGAAAAATTTGCAAATCAAAGATAAACACGTGCGTAAATAATTAACCTTCTTTCAAAGATTAAACAACCAACCCCAATTGTTTCAAAATTTTAACTTATATAAAATAAACAAAATAAAAATTTGAAACCATTAACTGGCTACACATACAATTTCCCCATTGCTCAACTCAACAAATGCAACAATAATCAAAACACACAAAATCTTTTCAAGTCTGACTTTGAGTTTATATTTTTTTCTGAGTAACAACTTCATCAATCAAGTTTGCAAAAACCACTGGCACCAATAATGTCGAAGTACACATAAGTATATAACAATTCATCGTACAAATTAGCTCTTTCCTTAAGACTCATGGGATGTCGGAAATCAAACGCAACCTTACTTCCGATTAAAGCAAAAGCGAAACTTTAAACCTATTAAATATTTGTCAATCTACTATACTCAAGAAAGAAATATCTAATAATAAAATAATCAATGATACAAGTTGAAATACCGACTATTCTACAGAAATAGAAAAATAGAATGTTTTTGAATCAAATTTTGAATATCAAAAAGAACATCAGATGAATTTTTTTTGGCTAGCTTTGGTTTCCAACATTACCAGATAACTCAAGACAAAATCAAACATTTAGCACACTTAATGTTTAAATTTTCTAAAGTTTATGCTACATCAAAGTGTGATTTCTGAAAAACTCAAACATCACTACTCTATCCGCTAAAACCAGACGCACTTTTCAAAGCAACTCGCAAATAAAGTCATGATACATTTACAGGATAAAGTGAAAAGACTTTAAGATATTCTCGAAGAAAAAGAATATATCTCACCAGTTAACGAAGAACAGCGAACAAAAGGAAGTTTATTCATAAAACCAGTTAATGTTTTAGCGAAAGGAGACTCTCTAAAAGTAGTACTTGATGCAAGATACTTAAACTCACTCATAGGTGAACCAAATTGTAACTTGCCAATAAAACCAATAGAAACTAAATTAAAGGGAGAAAACTACACTACAGCTGATGTGATCAGTGCATATAATCAGTTGCCCCTATATGGTCAATCACGCCGCTTAACACAAC